GCTACATGATCCAATATCATACAAATAAAAAATTAATATATTTTTCAGAATAAAATCAATATATTAAAAAATTCAAAATATATCTTGTGATAAATTTGTAGTTTAGGGCATAGGGTTTGTGATCTACAATTTAATATGCATTAGGTTGATTAACAATATCAACAATAGTTATTACTTATTACTATAATATAGCAAGTTGCGTAGTATAGTGGTTGAAAAACTATTCCAAATTTGTTTAAAAAAAAAATCGTGAAATTGAAATTTTGAAATTGGAGTTTAAAATCTGATTCCAAAATTAAATATTTTCTGATCAAAATCTGGGGAAAAAGGAAAATTTTATTAATTTATTCACTTAGAGCTCGTATGGTTATTTATATGGGATAATTTTAGATTAGCTGAGTTTGAATTAATTCTCTGCATATTAATTAAAAAATTAGTTAGTATGGTGTCAGTATGTAAGATTAAATCTTGTATTAAATCTGTTAAATTCTAATATTGTATGTGATTTGTCTATAAATTTTTTTGTATAATAACATTGACATATAGTTTGAAGGATAAAATAGTCTTTTACTTGTTTAGTCATCCCACTATTAAATTAATCTTAGGGAGAGGGGTGCTACTAATTTAATAAAATAGTAGTATTTAGTAGCGAATTTGAAAAGGTGAATCTTGCCTATCGAACGTGTTACTAGCCTCTATTAATTAGTCAGTAGAACATTATAGCGATAACGAAACGAACCATTATTATATAAAATACATTGTGAAATCTCATCTCTCTCCAATTCTTTCAGAAAAATAAAATTATCAAAATTCAAAATGAAAAAAAAATATTTCGAGATCCATTTTCTCTACAATTAGAATCGTTCGAATCCGAAAGCTCCAATCGAATTTACACCCTACACTATTTAACGGAGAGTTAGATGCCGCATAGGGTCATATACACTAAAGGTTGTTTTTAACCATTGATAAAGTTAAAATAACAAGGGAAAATTATGGTCACCCCTTGAGGTAAACCATTACGAAACCTCCCCTCATATTTGGATAATTACAAACACCTTCTTCAACTATGTATTGTCTTACAAAAAAGTTGCTCATTCAGTAGGTAAATTTGACACTGTAACCATGGACTTGTAAGAAGATTCATAGTTGAGAAGCGATTGTAATAACCCAAACACGATGGAGTTTTTTTTCGTAATTTTAACCCCTATAAACATTTAGTCTACCATTTTTATTAAATGTTATTTATAATAATTTTTTTTTATTATCATCAATATCGAAACATCCTTGAATAAAATCCTGAATCTACCACTGAGCAGTGGCCGTAATTTTCCCAAATAAAAAACTACTAAACATACACATATGTGTGTTTAATTACATGCAGATCAAGAGTTAAAAATCACCCGATATATATGACCCGATATAGCAATAAATGCACCCTATTTAACATGCCATGGGCGCACTTTTCCATAATTGCAGGCAGCCCCTCCAACGTGTCATTTGTGCTTCTAGAAGCAAACACCTTCTTCAACCAAAAGATTAAAATAATCAAGAAAAGAACAGCAAACAAGTCAGCAGCGACCAACTCTTACGTTTTCCATGTAATAAAATATTCAATTCCTTGTTCAAAGAAAAAAAGAAACTATTCCAAACAATTGAAAAAAAATGGAAATCGAAGAAAAAAAAATGGCTGCTATCGCCACCTATGACGACTTCCTTCATTTCCACTATTCCCAGTTTCTTTCAAGAATATTATTTTCTTTGAATTTTCCCCCTTTCCTTTTAATTTCTTCAAATAATATTATATTAATTAATTAATTATTAATCTGAAAATGGTGTTTAAATGCATCCATCCAGTTGAGTCACATCGTACTGAATTATACACCGCCGCCCTGTGGAAAAATCTGCTGCTTCTCTTCCTTCTTTTCTTGTTTGTTGCTTTCTTTGTTTCCTAATCTTGCAAGAAAGTAGGTAATAATAGATTCTACTACTCTATTACCACCTTAATCAATGCTAATTAATAGCTTTTAGCTGCTTTTGGGTTTTCACAGCTTTTCTTTCTTTCTTTCTTTCGGTGTGTTATTGCTTCATTCATTCTTTCATCAAGATTGTTCTTTTATTCTTGTAAGTGATTATTCATCAACTTATATTTGGAACCCTTTTTTTTTTTTTAATTATTATTCTTGCTTAGTGTGATTTTGTTTTCACCTGGGCTTTTCTTGAAATTTGTGATATTTGGTGATTTTGGTTTGTGAAAATTTGATCTGGGATTTTTGCTGAGATCATATTAGGGTTGTGTGTAAATTTTCAATCTTGGTGGTTTTTCTTGTTTATTTTCTAGTGATTTTTGTTGAGATCACATAAGGGTTTTTTTGTAAATTTGCAATCTTGGTGGTTTTTGGTTCATTTCCTGGTGATATTTGGAGTTGGGTTTTTTTCATATGATCTTGATTTTGTTTTCCCTCTGTTCTTGTTGATAGTTCTAAACTCAATTCTTTTCTCATTCGAAAAAAGCCCCCTTTTTCGATAATGATGGATCCGAATTCCATTTCGGAAATCAACGAAAACCCTTACATTACAAAGAACCCTTCTTCCCAAAGAAGCATTTCCTCAGTCCAATCAATTCAGACAACTTCCTCCACCGAGCTGGGGGGGCCGAAACCCCTCCGATACGGCTCAGTGGGTCCCGATTCCATGCGTCTTAGCACCTCTTACAGAGACATAAACGAAGAAGAAGCAAGATTAGTCTACGTAAACGACCCCCACAGAACGAATTCCAGTTTCCAATTTGCCGGAAACTCGATAAAAACATCCAAATACTCAATCTTGACTTTCTTGCCCCGTAATTTGTTCGAACAGTTTCGTCGAATCGCCTACCTGTACTTTCTAGTCATCGCCATTCTCAACCAGCTTCCTCAACTAGCGGTCTTCGGTCGAGGAGCTTCCATTCTGCCGCTAGCGTTCGTCCTCTTAGTGACAGCTGTCAAGGACCTGTACGAGGATTACAGGCGCCACCGTTCGGACAAGATCGAGAACAACCATTTGTCCATGGTTTTATCAAGTGAAAGCAGCAACAACTTTCAGTCCAAGAAATGGAAGCATATTCGTGTGGGTGATATCATCAAAGTATCGGAAAACGAATCGATCCCTTGCGATATGGTACTGCTCTCCACAAGCGACCCCACCGGAGTTGCCTACATACAGACAACAAATTTGGATGGCGAATCGAATTTAAAGACACGGTACGCAAAACAAGAAACTCAAACCCGAAATCTTGAAAATGGGGATATCGGGGTAATCGTTATAAAGTGCGAAAAGCCGAACAGGAATATATACGGGTTCCAAGCGAACATGGATTTCGAAGGCAAACGTGTTTCGCTCGGTCCGTCTAATATAGTCCTACGTGGATGTGAATTGAGGAACACTAAATCGGCTATCGGTGTTGCGGTTTACACCGGCAAAGAAACCAAAGCAATGCTCAACAACTCAGGTGCTCCGTCGAAGAGGAGCCGCCTCGAAACTCGTATGAATCGAGAAATAATTTACCTTTCAATTTTTTTGGTCACCCTTTGCACCGTAGTTTGTATAAGTCACGGTGTTTGGTTGATAAAGCACAAAGATGAGTTGGATTTGATACAGTTTTATCGAAAAAAGGATTATTCGGGAAGTGAAGTGGAGAATTACGAGTACTACGGTTGGGGAATGGAGATATTCTTTGTGTTTCTTATGTCGGTTATTGTGTTCCAAGTTATGATTCCGATATCTTTGTATATATCGATGGAGCTCGTTCGTGTGGGCCAGGCTTATTTTATGATCCAAGATGATCGGATGTTTGACGAGGCTACTAACTCGAGGTTTCAGTGTAGGGCGTTGAATATAAACGAGGATTTAGGACAGATTAAATATGTGTTTTCGGATAAAACGGGGACTTTGACCGAGAATAAAATGGAGTTTCAGTGTGCAAGCATCGGTGGAGTGGATTACGATAATGGGAAGGCTAGTTGTGAAGATGGTGGAATCGAGTACTCGTCGGTGCAAGGTATTTATTATTTTTTAATTAAATTGTTTTTTTTCATGCATTTTTTCTCAATCTAGATGTTTTTAAATGTATGAGGGCTCGTTTGGTTGGTAAGATTCGAAATCTGTTAAAAAAAAACCGAAGAAGTAGGAAATTGGAATTTCGAAAATTGGAATATCTTATTCCAAAATCGGAAATTTTCGGAATTCGAAATTTTCCATTTTCTAGTCACCTAAAATATAAAATACATAATTACTTTTATATTATAAATGTAATATTCGAAAAAATTGGAATTTTCAGAAATTTAAATCCGATCTGAAATCAGAATCTCGTATATATTCCAATTCCGATCCAAAAAAAATAAATCGAAAAATCGGAATGAAAATATTGTTCCGAAATCGGAAAATTTCCAATTTCCAATTTATCTCACTTGGTATTTTTCTTATACGAATTATTTTGTTGGCAGTTGATGGGGTTACTTTGAGGCCGAAAATGAGTGTAAAAGTCGATATTGAGCTTCTCAATTTGTCGAAAACAAAAGACACGGATGAAGGCAAACACGTTCGCGATTTTTTCTTGGCATTAGCTACTTGCAATACGATTGTGCCGCTAACAATCGAGAGTTCCGATCCAGCTGTCAAATTGATAGAGTATCAAGGGGAGTCTCCCGATGAACAGGCATTGGTATATGCTGCTGCTTCGTACGGTTTTATGCTTATCGAACGAACTTCGGGTCACATTGTTGTTGATATTCAAGGCGAAAGGCAAAGGTAGTTTTCGAACTTGCTCTCGTAATTCGTTCTAAATTTTTTTATTGGTCAAAATAGTTTATTCAGGATAATAATAATAATAACCTCTTAGCATAAATCTTATGATTTTCTTTTTTTCATTTCCTTCTCTTATTATAATTTCGAATGTTCGCCTATTTTGATCCAAAAGTTTTCCGATTTTGGAACAATTTTTCTCATTCTGATTTTCTATTTTTTTTTATCGAAATTAGAATAATTATTAGATTTATGATTTCTGATTCGATTTTTATTTCCGAAATTCGATTTTTTTTCCCAAAAATTACACGTATAATATCTTTATTACTCTATGTATATTATGTTTTAGCTTAATAAAAAAATGGAATTTCCGAATTCCACAGATTCCAATCGTAAAATTTTCCGATTTTATACGGGATTCCGATTTCTGATTCGATTAATTTCTGAAAATTTCGATTTTAATTGGGGAAAATTGATAAAAAAAATCGAAAATTACACTTATAGTATCAATAGTATTAAGTATTTCCGAATTCCTATCGAAAATTTCCTATTTTGGAACAAGTTTTTTCGTTCTAATTTCGGTTTCTTTTTTTTCTGGAATGAAATTGGAAATGCTAATTCCAATCCAATCGTCCGATTTCCATCCAATGACTCGAATAATAAACACTCGATTTATGGGCAGTGCAGGTTCAACGTGTTAGGCATGCACGAATTCGACAGCGACAGAAAACGCATGTCCGTAATCCTAGGTCTCCCCGACAACACAGTCAAACTCTACGTAAAAGGCGCCGACACCTCAATGTTCAACGTACTCAACAACTCCTCAAACACAACAAACAAAAACCTAACAAAACCAACTCAAGCCCATCTCCACTCCTACTCCTCAAAGGGTCTACGCACGCTCGTAATCGCCGCACGCGAACTAACCCTGTCCGAATTCCAACACTGGCAATCCTCGTACGAGTCGGCGAACAATGCCCTAATGGGCCGATCCAATTTACTTCGTAAAATCGCAATTAGTATCGAAAATAATCTCGGCTTGTTAGGTGCGTCGGGGATTGAGGATAAGTTGCAGGAAGGCGTGCCGGAAGCTATCGAGTCTTTGAGAACGGCCGGTATTAAAGTGTGGGTTTTGACCGGGGATAAGCAAGAAACGGCTGTTTCGATCGGATACTCTTCGAAGCTCTTGACCAACGAGATGACTCGGATAGTTATTAATAATAACTCGAAGGATTCCTGTAAGAGGAGCTTGGAAGATGCTTTGGGAGTGTGTAAGAAGGTCAAAAACGGTGTCTCGGGTACTATTAATAGTCAGCTTGCATTGATTATTGATGGATCGAGCCTTGTTTATGTGCTGGATACTGAACTTGAGGAACAGGTATTTTTTTTTAATTTTTTTATGGTCCAGAAGTTTGTTTAGTTTTGTTGCATTCGGCACCCCTATATTTTTTATACTTGCTAAGAAACGCCCATGTGTTATTTTATTGGCAAAAACACCCCAAGATTTAATTTTGTTAGCAACCTACCCTCTAAAAACTCAGTGTTTAGTGGGTTGTGTACTAACAAGATGCATTAGAAGGGTTTTTTTGGCAATAAAAAATAATATAGAGGAGCATTTTAGCAATTTGATATAGGCATATAGCACAAGGGTATTAAATGCAATAAACTGAATTCTTTTATGTCAAGAACTTGGTTTAGTTTTGTTGCATTCGGCACCTCTATATCTTTTCTAATTGCTAAAAAGTTCCCCATGTCATTTTTTTGGCAAAAACGCTCCAAGATTCAATTTTTTTTAGCAAACTACCCCTAACTCACTGTTTAGGGGGTTGTGTGCTAAATAAATGCAGTATAGGGGGTTTTTTGCAATAAAAAATAACATAGGGGAGTAATTTAGCAATTCCATATAATACAGGGGAACTAAATGCAATAAACTCAATTTTGTTTATACTTGTTATTTTTTTCCTATTTTCCTTTTATTTATTTATTTATTTATATTATTTTTTTGGGGACAGCTATTCGAATTAGCTAGCAAATGCGATGTGGTGTTGTGTTGTCGTGTGGCTCCGTTGCAAAAAGCTGGAATTGTTGCACTGATTAAGAAAAGAACTGATGACATGACACTTGCAATTGGTGACGGTACGAAATCGAACAAAATCTCTGTTTATAGTAAAGTTTAAAAAAAAAAAACTAGGATAAAAATGAAATTAATTATTTTTATTTTTATTTTATTTATTTATTTTTAGGAGCGAACGATGTTTCGATGATTCAAAGAGCTGATGTGGGTATCGGAATAAGTGGACAAGAGGGAAGGCAAGCCGTAATGGCGTCCGATTTCGCAATGGGCCAATTCCGATTTTTGGTGCCGTTATTATTGGTGCACGGGCACTGGAATTATCAACGTATGAGTTACATGATTTTGTACAACTTCTACCGAAATGCCGTTTTTGTTCTCATTTTATTCTGGTGAGTAATATATTCTTTAATCCATTTTGTGTCATATAATTTTTAAGGCACGATAATCTCGTCTATTTGCTTAAACACTGCTTAATTATCTCAGTCCAAAGTTCGATCGTCATACTA